ATATTTATATTATATATAATTTATATAAATAAATATATATATATATGTATTTATATATATATATATATATATAATATATATAAATTTATATAATGTATATATATATATACATATTTCTACATGTATATTTATATATATATATATATTATATATAATTGAATATGTATATTTATATAAATTATATATATATATATATATATATATATATATATATATATATATAAATATACATGTAGAAATATGTATATATGTACAAAAGATTATACGTTTAAGGCCATAGCAAGATTAAGCAAGATCGTGGGCAGTCCCTCGAGTGGGACCACCACCTGCAGAGGGGTCCGTGGTGGTTCGGTGCAGCGAGGACAGGGCAGCAGTCGAAGGCGGAGACCTCGGCGATCCAGTCCGCATACACAACATCTGGCTCTTGGGACGTGGAACGTCACCTCACTGGGGGGCAAGGAGCCCGAGCTCGTGGGGGAGGTTGAGAGATACCACCTAGAGATAGTCGGCCTCACCTCCACACACAGCTTGGGCTCTGGAACCTTTCAACTCACACCTCCGGGAGAGCTTCTCCCAGGTCCCGGTGGAGGAGGGGGACATTGAGTCTGAGCGGACCATGTTCTCTTTCTCTATCACCGATGCGGTGGCCCGTAGCTGTGGTCGCAAGGTTTCTGGTGCTGGTCCCGGCGGCAACCCCAGAACCCGGTGGTGGACACCGGCAGTAAGGGATGCCGTCAGACTGTAGAACGAGTCCTATCGAGCCATGATGGTTCGGGGGACTCCTGAGGCAGCTGTCCAGTACCGGCAGGCCAAGCGTGCCGCGACCCGGGCTGTTGCAGAGGCAAAAACCCGGGACTGGGAGGAGTTCGGAGAGTCCATGGATCATGACTATCGGTCGGCCTCGAAGAGATTCTGGCAAACCGTCCGGCGCCTCAGGAGGGGGAAGCAGTTCTTTGCCAACACCGTGTATGGTGCGGGTGGAGAGCTGCGGACCTCGACTGGGGATATTGTCGGGCGGTGGAAGGAATACTTTGAGGTTCTCCTCAATCTCCCCGTCACGTCCTCCATCCCGCAGGCAGAGGCTGAGGATGTTGGGGCAGATACCTCCATCTCCCTGGCTGAGGTCACCAAGGTGGTTGGCAGCCTCCTTGGCGGCAAGGCGCCAGGAGTGGATGAGATCCGTCCTGACTATCTAAAGTCTCTGGATGTTGTGGGACTGTCTTGGCTGACACATCTCTGCAACATCGCGTGGCGATCGGGGGCGGTGCCAATGGAGTGGCGGACCGGGGTGGTGGTCCCTTTCTACAAGAAGGGGGATCGGAGGATGTGTTCAAATTATCGTGGGATAAAACTCCTCAGCCTCCCTGGTAAGGTCTACTCCAAGGTACTGGAGAGGAAGCTACGGCCGATGGTCGAATCTCGGATTCAGGAGGAGCAGTGCGGTTTTCGCCCCGGCCACGGAACACTGGACCAGCTCTACACTCTCCTTCGGATACTCGAGAGTTCATGGGAGTTCGCCCAACCTGTCCACATGTGCTTTGTGGATTTGGAGAAGGCGTTCGACCGTGTTCCCCGGGGTGTCCTTTCGGGGGTCCTCCGGGAGTATGGGGTCCGGGGTTCTCCGCTGAAGGCCGTCTGGTCCCTGTATGACCGGAGCCAGAGCTGCGTTCGCATTGCCGGCAGTAAGTCAGACCTGTTCCCGGTGCATGTTGACCTCCGCCAAGGCTGCCCTTTGTCACCGGTTCTGTTCACTGTGTTTATGGACAGAATTTCTAGGCGCAGTCAGGGGCCGGAGGGGGTCCGGTTCGGCAACCACAGGATTTCATCTCTGCTGTTTGCGGATGATGTGGTCCTGTTGGCTTCAACGAACCAGGACCTGCAGAAATGCACTGGGACGGTTTGCAGCCGAGTGTGAAGCGGCTGGGATGAGAATCAGCACCTCCAAATCCGAGGCCATGGTGCTCGACCGGAAAAAGGTGCCTTGCCCTCTCCGGGTGGGTGGAGTGGTCCTTCCTCAAGTGGAGGATTTCAAGTATCTCGGGGTCTCGTTCACGAGTGAGGGAAGGATGGAGCGTGGGATTGACAGGCGGATCGGTGCAGCGTGCGCAGTGAGGCGGTTGCTGTAACGGACTGTCGTGGTGAAGAGGGAGCCGAGCCGGAAGGCAAAGCTCTCAATTTACCCTCACTCACCTATGGTCATACGCTTTGGGTAATGACCGAAAGAACAAGATCGCGGATACAAGCGGTCGAAATGAGCTTCCTCCGCAGAGTGGCTGCGCGCTCCCTTAGAGATAGGGTGAGGAGCTCAGTCACAAGGGGAGCTCGGAGTAGAGCCGCTGCTTCTCCAAGTCGAGAGGAACCAGTTGAGGTGGCTCGGGCATGTCCCACCGGGAGGAAGCCCCGGGAAGACCCAGGACACGCTGGAGGGACCATGTCTCTCAGCTGGCCTGGGAACACCTTGTGGTCCCCCCGGACGAGCTGGAGGAGGTGTGTGTGGATAGGGAAGTCTGGCCGTCTCTGCTTAGACTGCTGCCCCCGCGACCCGGCAACGGATGAAGCGGAAAAAAGAAAATGGATGGATGGATAGATTACAAGTTTATTGACGACTCAGTACCACAGTGCTATGATAAAGAAAATAATGTAATAATTCATTCTAATCATATTGTAAAAAGTACACCATTACGATGTTAAGTAATTTACAGTTATATTTTGTTTTTTCAAAAATAAATTGATAAAAACTTTACTTTCTACAAACTTTGATTGTCTTCTTGACAAAAAATGTCTGATATTACTCAAACAACTCTTTTCTGTTAATCTTACAATGATTTGTATTTTGAACAAGTGATGTAGGTAGAATTCACATATTATTTAGGCTATTTTAACAAAAATACATTGTTTTCTAGAATACTACATTTTATTGTGAATTTTACGTTTAATTGCAGTTTTTGTGTTTACATCTTTATTCTGTTGGTATTTTACAGTATTTTATTGTAAATTCGACAGTCACTTTTTACAGTGTGGTCTCTCTCTCTGGTCTCTCTCTCTGGTCTCCCTCTCTAGTCTCTCTCTCCCTGGTCTCTCTCTGTGGTCTCTCTCTCTGAGGTCTCTCTCTCTAGTCTCTCTCTGTGGTCTCTCTCTCTAGTCTCTCTCTCTGGTCTCTCTCTCTGAGGTCTCTCTCTCTAGTCTCTCTCTCTAGTCTCTCTCTCTGAGGTCTCTCTGGTCTCTCTCTCTCTGGTCTCTCTCTCTGGTCTCCCTCTCTAGTCTCTCTCTCCCTTGTCTCTCTCTCTGGTCTCTCTCTGTGGTCTCTCTCTCTGAGGTCTCTCTCTCTAGTCTCTCTCTCTAGTCTCTCTCTCTGGTCTCCTTACAAGACTTAATTTGAAAGTTTATTGTTTTTACCCTTTCATTTCGACATATTCCTGCTTAACCTTAGGTGAAAAGCCGACACAGATCCAAACAACACGGCGACCTTTCCCACTGCATTTCAAAACATGGGCGTACAAACCCACAGACCCGGCTTTACCACTTCTCTCACACTAGTCCTTGCTTAGCCACATTTTTATCCAATAAAATATCCAGAGTATGTTTTTTCCCATATGTATTGTCTTCTGTTTTGCATTCACCGCGTCTCACCCGTCCCTCACTGACAGGTCTGTGGAGAAACCTTTTGGTTGAAGTTTACAACCAAAACAAAGTGTGTGTCCAAACACTGACCCCTGCCCCCCGCTCTAACCTTCCAACAGATACACAACTTTAACTTTTAGTTTGGTGACAACTGAGAAAAGAAATCGTTTTTTTTTTTTTTTTGATCTCTCACTGCGCTGCCTGATTAGTTGAAAAATCTAGCGACTTTCTTCAATATCCCACTTTATAAAAAAACTTGTACCTGGAGTTGGTTTTAGATCCATCCGCGCTAATATCAGGCACTTCTAGCACAAACATGTAGCTCCGCCCCTTCTGTCTATAAGTTCTTGTCCCAATCCTGTAATAGTATGATGTCATTGTACCTCTATGACATCACAGCTTTCAGCCTTTTAAAAACAAAAGTATTGCCCCCTAATTATTTCCAGTATTTTCTCAAGTGAAATCACGTTTTTGTGCTTGCAGCTGGTAATTTTAACTTTTGACCAAAAAAAAAAAACATATTCTACCTCTCCCTCTGGTGGTTGCTTAGGGAGTTACAGGTGGAAAAGCTTTTCGACCCTACCTACTTGTTTTACTGTATAATTTGTACTTACAAAGTTACTACACACAAAACTTGAAATGACTAAGTAAAAAAACTCATTATATTTGTTAAAGACCGGAAATAATGCATGGAATTTATTCTTTAAGTCGACCAAGAATTTCAACTCTACCAACTACAATATGAGAAGGATTATAGACGAGGCAAGTTTATTTCTATAGCACAGTTCATAGACAAGGCAACTCAAAGTGCGCAACGAAACTAGAAAATGTCAACATAAGGCATTAAAATCATAAATAATCGCAGTACATTAAAAAAGAGAGAAGTTGTATTCGCAGCAAAACAGAGCTGCATTTTAACATTGTCAGAGTAGAAGCCTGTCTCACATTTTCAGGTAGACTGTTCCAGATCGTTACTGCATTTTATATTATTTCTATCAAATCCGTTTTTCAGACAGTAAGAAAACCAACTTAAAACCCATAAAGGTTCATTGTAATCTATAGTCTCAAGGTCTATAAAGATACATGTTCCCGACAGATGAGATTAGACACCAGACCAGACATGCAGGATGTTCCCAAATGTCCAAAAGAGGCGAAAAACTAGACTCATTCTCTTCCAATTGTTTATAGAAAAAGCCAAAGGTTTAAAGGCACGCGTGTGAGTCATCCAGACCCCCCTCTCTCGCACTGGTTTGTGGGGGATAGTCCTCGCTCCTCTCCCTCTCTCCTCCTTTACGCACCGCGCGGCATTATGCACATTCGCTATGGACGCGCAGTTTTACGCACGGGAACTATCGCCGTTTCCTAAAGACTGGTGAAATATGGCGCTGTCTTCAAGTGCGCGCTTCAGACTCGGGACTATTTCTGCTGCTATTACGCACTTTCTACGCGTCAGAACCGGGACTATAGGAGCCAAATCAAGTCTGAATCTAAAGTAATTGTGTTTTGTCGGAGTGTGTGTTTAACCACGAAAGACGCAGGATGCTCAGGGACAATCATGTATTCGCGTTGCTGCCGTGAATGTCTATATTTCTATTGTTTTGGTTGTTTCGTTTCGCATGGGCAAAGTGGAATTGCGTGAAGTCATGCGAGACGACGGCGTGGATTGTTGATTTTCTGCTCTGCAAAAAAAAAAAAAAACAGACACATTTGATTGGACTGGAGTGAAACGGACTGGAATTGACGCTAAAATAACTCATGTGAAGGCGTTGGTTTCGTTTTTGTCCCAAATTCTCCATTGATTCAACAGACGGCAGCTGTCAGGCGCAAAGGTGAGTTTTGGAAGATTAGTTGGCTATCTTTCTCAGACCATACTTTTACTCTTAAGGCAAGGCAAAATAATTTATATAGCACAGTTCATGCCGTTCGTGATTATTTATGATTTAAATGCCTTCTGGGACTGTTTCTATCTTGTTTTGTTTAGCACGTTGAGTTGCCTTGTGTATGAATTGTGCTATACATATAAATTTGCTTTGCCTTGCCACATGCCATCTCAGTGCTTAACAAAACATGATAGAAACAAACTGGATTTAGACGTTGTCAGAGTGGAAGTCTGTTTCCCATTTTCAGGAAGACTGTTCCAGGTTTGAGCTGCATACATCTGAAACGTGCCTCCCAATGTTTAGTCCTGACTCTGGCACAAGCAGGAGGCCAGTCCCTGTGCTCCTCAGAGTGTCAGCAGGAGGCCAGTCCCTGTGCTCCTCAGAGTGTCAGCAGGAGGCCAGTCCCTGTGCTCCTCAGAGTTCATGTTGGTTAATATGACCCTAACAGATCACGGATGTACTACCAATATGAATGACATTTTAGTTACAAATAGTTACAAAGGTAAACAGTACTTAACTTTTTTTCTTATAGCTAATACCTTGTGTTTGTCCCAACAATAAGAGTTTTGTAAAAAAAAAAAAAAAGAAAGAAAACAAAAAAAAAGTAAAACTTTTTGAAGAAATTAGATGTTATTAGAAAACATGGCATATTTTGCAGCTGTGAGAAATGGCCCTGTGAGTCACTATTTGTGTCACGGTTTAACAGAACCCAAGACTAGACACAGATCGGCGAGAGAAGGGTTTATTTACAATGGAGAATATGCAATGAAGCACGTGATGTGGACAGAGGCAGAGGCAAGCAGGCAGAGGCAAGCAGGCAGAGGCAAGCAGGCAGAGGCAGGCAGGCAGAGGCAGGCAGGCAGAGGCAAGCAGGCAGAGGCAGGCAGGCAGAGGCAGGCAGGCAGAGGCAAGCAGGCAGAGGCAGGCAGGCAGAGGCAGGCAGGCAGAGGCAGGCGGGCAGTGGCAGGCGGGCAGTGGCAGGCAGGAACAGACAGGCAGGCAGGATCTACGCACAGGAAGCGAGGTAAGTACAACAAACAATCACAATCGTAGAGCAGAGAACATAAATGTTTCACTAAAAAGAAGCGACAACGAACTGGCATTGACTTGCTGGGAACGAGGCTTCTTATGCAGCTGGAGATGAGTGGCAAGTGGAGTCAGGTGAGTAGCCACGCCCAGGAAGGTGGAGACAAGACAAACACAGAAGGGGAGGGAGAGAGACAGCAGGGAGCAGATCCTGACAATTTGATGCTTTGGGCTGAGAGCTGATTGGCTGAGTGAGGGTGGTCCTCTCATTTTCACTTTTCTGTCTGATTCATCTTTATGGCTGATATAAAGATGAAATAAAAAAGTGATGTTTATTTATGTAGCGCATTTGTACAGACCAAGGTGCACCCAAAGCGCTTTACAACGTTCAGAATTCAGATATTGTTCCATTCTCTGACACGATGATGACAGAAGTGAGACGCTGAAACCCCTAACCAACACCATCCATTCACTCACTCGTTATATTCATACCTATTGTACATGTTTTAGTCGTCAGGGAAACCGGTTACAAGCGACCGTTAATCAAAGTTACGCCTTTGAAAGCATCACAAGGCTCCACCTGATCAGCTGGCTGCATCTTCTGTTCCCCAGGGTTTGGCCCCCAGGGGATTTGAGATTTCACGTATATCTTTTTCCAGTTCGAGCCGTGGCTGCCACCGTCACCGCCATGTCTTCGTCCAAGTCCCTGTACATCGTCATGGAGGTGCTGATCGCCGTGTCGTCCGTGGTCGGCAACGTGATGGTGGTGTGGGCGGTGCGCATCAACCGCTCGCTGCGAGACACCACCTTCTGCTTCATCGTGTCCCTGGCGCTGGCCGACATCGCCGTGGGGGCCCTGGTGATCCCGCTGGCCATCACCATCAGCATCGGCCTCCAGACGCACTTCTACAGCTGCCTGCTCTTCGCCTGCACCGTGCTCGTGCTCACGCAGAGCTCCATCCTCGCGCTGCTCGCCATCGCCGTCGACCGCTACCTGCGCGTCAAGATCCCCATGAGGTAGGCCGCAAAGGTGAATCCAGCCGAGTTTTTGTCTGCTTTATGTTTCACATGTTTTCATGTTCAGATTATTGTTTAGTAACCTGGCAAGAGCCAGATTGATGATTGTGTAGAACTCTAATGCGTTCTCCACAATATCAATCTGGGACTTCTGCAGGAGAATCCTTTTGGGGAAAGGAGGGATAAGCAGCAGAATACTTCAAGCTGATTGGGCGAAGTGACGCTGTGTGCCCGCCTACCAAGGTTTGACTTAAACCAATCCCGGTAACATTATGTCGTCATCGGCGTGCACAAAGCGCCTCTCGCTGTTCATCTTTCAAAAAAGAAATTGGAGATTCTGCTAAAACTGACTTGCGTAGCCATGTTTGTTTTGCTTCGGCCCGGCACTTCTTGCTTTCGTCAAACCCGGATATCCCGCCCTAAACCCCCAGACTGGCGCGTGATTGGCTTGAACACCTAGATGTTCTACTCGAAAAGGGTTGGAGGGAGCGGGGGAAGATGTATTCTCGAGTGTTTGTGAACTCACAAATACCGCGAGAATTCAGCTTGCAGGCAAGGTTAATTGTTTAGAGCAGCTGTTTCAAACATGTTGCCCCCTAGTGGACATCAAACTGTAATGTCAGTCTGGGCTATGGCATGTTATACTTAGTTTTAAAGCTACTTTTATCAAGAAAACAGCCAAACCATTGACATTATTATAAATACTGAACCCTGAATGCAAAAAGGAATAATTCATAAGTAAACATTATCAAACTCAGTCTACAATAGACAGTCTCATTTCTTTTCATCCAGTTTTGTTTCAGGCAGCTGGACTCATTTTGTTCATAGAAATATATGAAAATTGAATTAAGTCATATACAAGAATTGTAAATATTTGGTCAAAAAACTAAAACTAAATAAAAAGTCACAGATGCAAAGGATGAGCCATACAACTTTCCACAAATGCTTCATTTTGCACCTGTTCTTCGGCACAAACCTTGACTTTCTCTTTCCTTAATGCGGCCCAGATTCATTCAGACTTGACCTCATGCGGCCCTCAGATAAATTGAGCTTGCAACCCCTAGTATAGATTAAGAAAAAGTTGGTTGTTTCGTAATAACAACAACAAAAATAAGTATAAACACTTTTAAACGCGCCTGTTGATGCTAGCTAAGGCTAACACTGTGGCCACTCCGCCTCGACTGGGTACTGACGGTGGTAGTTGTAAGTGGTTCAAGTTAGGGCTGCAACAACGAATCGATAAAATCAATAATTTCATTATCGATTCGTTGTGTCACGCGATTAATGCGTCACCCACTACGTCGCGGAACCGTGGATCTGCGCGGAGCTCACATGAGTTGGGCTCATTCTTGTACAGCTGTGTTCAGACTTTTTTTATATAATGCACAAAGATGGTGACTTCTGATTAATTCTAATTCACTGTGGCATTAGCAGCGCACACACAGCGCACACACTGCTCCTCTGCTCGCTCACACACACACGTCTGCTTCTCTGCTCGCTCACACACACACGTCTGCTCCTCTGCTCGCTCACACACACACAATGCGCTCGCATCTCGCTAGGTGTAGCAATGCTTAGTCTCTTTCCTCCTATCTGAATCACTTCAGATTTAAATCCATGATTTAGACAGTAGACACCGCTAAAGTTATTTGACAGCTCGGAATTCTGCCAATTGTCTGAAAATTCTCATCCATATATATATATATATATATATATATATAAAATCGGTGCATCCCTAAAAATACCTATTTTTGTGCATTTGCATGTTTTTTTGTTTAGGTCCATGGCCATGTTTGTGAACAAAGGGATGAATATATATATATATATATATATATATATATATATATAATATTATGTATCCGATTAATCGAAGAAATAATCGACAGATTAATCGATTATTAAAATAATCGTTAGTTGCAGCCCTAGTTCAAGTATTGTATTTAGTTGTAGGACATTGATAAAAATATGATTGCCTTGCCACATTATCACAAGTCAATGTATCTTTATCACAATATTCTAATTCAATGTATTATATAATGAATTTTGTATGGACCTTGAGTCCAGAATAAAGATTATATATTGCCCTAAATCAATCAATCAACGTTCAAACTGCATGCCTCCCATAGTGCAATTAAAACACACTGTAAAAACACATACAAATGGCAATGCAAAAAACAAAACTAAAATGATGATCCACTGCCTGATGATCATCAGACATAGGCATGGCTAAAAAGAACCGTTTTCAGCCTGAACTAGAATAAGGCAAGTGTAGCGGCCTGTAGGGAAGATGAGCAATTCAGATCGGTCAATAACGATGTATATTGATTGTTTTTTTGTTTTGTTTTTTAAACCTAAGTAAATACATTTGTCGTGTTGGCTAACACACGTTAGCAGCCCTTGTTTATAGTCACGGGGAAAAAGGCTCGAGGAATATGTTCACAAGCACAGTGTCCCCCATTGTTAGTCCTGGTTTAGTCCTGGTTTGGTCCTGGTTTGGTCCTGGTTTAGCTCCTGTTTTGGCTGTTTTTGAGTGTCTTGTTTCCCCGTGACGACTCCGGAAAAAGTTAATCTCTTGCTTTCGCCGAATGCATCGAGTCTCTGTACCCACTGCCTCTGCCGCTCCGCACATGCTGTTCCTCGCACGGACGTGCATAACTATTGACACGGCACTGAAACATAATCTGTAGATCCATGGACGCTACGCATGGTGCAGTTGTTGTTTTTAGCATTTCCCAGAATGTTTCGGAATCTGGAACAATCTTCCTGAAGATGTGAGACAGGCCTCCTCTCTGACAATGTTTAAAACCAAGTTAAAAACGGTGCTGTTTAGCTGTGCATACAACTGAGGGATTTTATATTTTTATCTTTCGTTTTAATGTTCTGTGATTATTTATGATTTTAATGCTATCTTGTTCAGCACTTTGAGTTGCCTTGTGTATGAATTGTGCTATACAAATAAACTTGCCTTGCCTTGCCTTCCTGCCCGGCTGTGATAGGTCGAGAAGCCTTTGCCTACATCCCCCAGAATTCCGCACGCTTCTGATTCTGCTTTACTTCCTGTGATTTCTTCCTGTTTTTTTCTAACGGAGTGAAGTTGAACTATTGAACATTCCATCGACCCCTGTTCTATTGATATTGAACACGTGTCTATTGCGATATATATCGTTATTGTTTTATCGCCCAGCCCTAGCGGCCTGTCTCACAACTTCAAGAAGATTGTTCCAGATTATAGGTGCATGGGTCTGGAATGCTGTAGCAGTCATTTTTGGAGTATCTACAAAGTTAAATGTAAAAAGATAATTTGGTCTTCTTCTGTTTATGGCTCAGAAGGTTCTTTTATTAAGACAAGAAAGTAAAGAAAGCTAGTACTGCTTAATTACCACATGTTTGGGCGGGAGACATCAGGACCAAAGAGCGAGTTGGAGAAAAATGTCGTTCCTGCTTTTGTCAGAGGAGACACGTGATGGTTGCCGGATGCAGTCAGTCTGACAGATCTCACAGATCCGTCAGTCTGACTGTGTCCCCCGCCGCGCTGTGGTCTCTGGAGAAGTGAATCCCAAGTGTGAGCCAAGGTGAAAGCCCCTTCGTCTTTGTTGATGGTCTGTGCACCCCGCTTCCTGATTTCAATCGCCTCTCGTATCCATCTTTTGTATTTGTGTTCTTTACAAAGTTATCAAACAACACATCAGAGAATCAAACAGTCCAAACATTGTAAATTCAATAATAGCAAACACATAAGAGCCATAGGGAGCGGCATGACCATTGTTCATAAATGTTCATACATTTCACTGTCCTTTGACCCTCCTGCTTTGACAAGGAACCCACAAGAAGGACTGTGGTGATGATCCAGGACACTTTAACTTTCTAATGTATGGACTTTGGTCTCTCTTTATGGACCAATACATATGTCTTAACTGTTGATTCTCTGATCTGTGTTGGTGATTTCAATGGTTTTGTTAAGTCCTCTGAGATGACTGCTGTTGTAAGTAAGTAAGTAAGTAATCTTTATTTATATACCGCCTTTTCACTGCACATCGGAGTCTCAAAGCGGTTTACAATTGTTATTTTTGGGAGTGGGGGTGCCAGTACAGGAGGCACATGCCAGACCTATTGTACATATTTTTAGTGGTAGGGGAAACCGGAGGACCCGGAGGAAACCTACGCAGACACGGGGAGAACATGCAAACTCCACTCAGAAAGGCCCTGGTCCAACCGGGATTCGAACCCAGGACCTTCTTGCTGAGAGGCGAGAGTGCTATCCACTCAGCCACCGTGCCGCCCGGTGATGTGATTTAGGGCTATACAAGAATAAATTGTATTGTATTGTATACAGATCCTAGACTGTAGAACGAGTACTGGGGTATGTTGTACAAACCCAGAACAAATCCCTAAATTCCAGAGACCTGCAGCTCATTGTTGTGTTGCAGAGTGTGTTATCAGACTGAGCTATGTTAAGTGAGAGACAAGTTTATCGTGTTTGTGTTGGAGAATTGAAGAGGTCAGCTGATGTTGCAACAGAATAAGTTCATTATAACAGTAAGAACAGTTCAAAGGGAGAGCTTGGATTAAAAACATGCCACACACACGACAGAAGTGCAGTTCTGTTGCCATGACAATAAGAGTAATGACTAAACTCTCACTTCAGCTTAAAACTATTGCACAAGCTCGTGTTGTTGGCAGGAAGTGATCTTCAGCACAATCTGCTGATGCAGATTAGCTTCTGTTTTTATTTTTAACCCTAGAACTCTGATTTTGAAATGACTCAACTCATGAACATTCTTATTCATAACTTTTTTCTGTATCTGTAGTTTTTTGTTTACTATATAATTGTTTTTATTCAATTATGTTGTATTTTTATAGTTCTACCTTTAACTCCCAGAGCAGTCGGTGGTCGTTGCTTAATTGTTACCATAGCAATTTCCAAAAAGTTTTTTTCTGTATTTCAAGTTTATATGAACCACTTTTAGCACCAATTAAGAGATGAGTAAACAATTTTACAA